TCCACTACAATCCCATTGCATTCCGTCACAAAATGGCAGATAAAATCAAGAAAATCAACTCATCTTTAGTCAATCTGAAGAATGAGGCAGCTAGTATTGGTCTAGTTGCAAGTTCGACATTCCAAGGTGGAAGCTCTCATGATGCAGGAGTTGACAGGGAAACCGTCTCCAGCTTTGCTCAAGACGAAAAGTACATCGTTGGAAGGGAGAAGGTTGTGTTAGAGATAGTAACAACCTTGATCGACTCAAGGAATACTCAAAAGAACTCTCTCTCGGTTATACCCATTGTAGGATTTGCCGGCTTGGGAAAAACAACTTTGGCTAAATCTATATATAATCATGATGAGATAGGCAGACAATTCACTATAAAAATATGGATATGCGTATCTATTCCTTTCGAAGTCAAGTCGATTTTAAACAAGATCTTGGTACATTTTAAACCAGAAAAGGCTCAAGAGAAGGAAGCAGCACTCAAAAACCTTCAAGAACATCTGAAAGGAAAAAGATATTTGCTCGTACTCGATGATGTTTGGAACGAAGATCCTGACAAATGGAATGATTTGACGAATTGTTTGTCAAGTGTTAAAGATACCCAAGGAAGCAGCATTCTTGTCACTACCCGTAGTGAGAAGGTTGCAAAAATCGTGCAGACACTTCCTATTTGTAATTTGGGAAAACTATCAGACGATCAATGTTGGCTCATTTTAAAGAACAGAGCATTTCTGGATGACAGTACTCCTTTGACTAAAGATCAAGAGAGAATTGGAAGGGACATCGCCAAAAAGTGTGCAGGCCTACCATTACTGGCAAAGGTATGTTTATCCGTTTGCTGAATTTTTCGCTTGATCTTGCTTCTTATATTTGTTTTTCATTAACAAACCTTTAACCCACTAGACATCGGTAATCTTGTTTGCTTTATTATTTTGTGAAGGAAAAGATTGTGTAAGGAGTTCTTTCTATTTTTCTTTCCATTCTAGCATATCTACAATTCAAACGAAGGCTCAAACATACCACTAATTTCACAAGTAAAATGAACAAAATAACACATAATAACAAGGATTATATAAAGAAAAAAAATCAGTATGGGCAGATACATCAGTAATCCAAATTTACAGAAAAATATTAGTACTATTGTCGATTAGATGAATACCTGTGGTTGAAAGAAGAAGCTAGAAGGAGATCGAATTAATGTGGCTACCTTTCTGAAAACAGTTTAAAAATTTATTTAACATAACTACACAGAGCCTAGAAACTATCTAGCAATTCCCATAATACCATCCTTCATTTTTAAAAATGACATCGTCTACCACCACCTCCTCCACCACCACCACCACCAACTTCACCACCACCACCAACCCCACCCACCACCTGCGCCTCCACCTCCACTCCTACCACCACCACCACCACCACCTGGACTGATAGAAAGAAAATCTTGCCCTGACTGATAGAAGTATTGTCATTTACTATATTTATCTTAATTTTTTTTTATCTTATTAAATTATTATCGAATTTACTAAAGATGAAAAGGGTATACATGGCATTTTGCACATTATTGGTAGGGAAAAAGTTTTTTTTTTCCTGAATTATAGTATAAGATAGTACTGCTTTTATAGATACAGTTATATTTTCCTATTTTCCCGTAATACTAAACATTTATTTGTTAATTTTCTTTAGAGTGGATTGTTTGTTTTATTAGAGATATTGGGGGAGGGAGCATTTGAACTTAATATCTGGATCGGTTCGGTTTGAATTGGATTTCAAACTTTGGATCCATTAACCAAACCAATCCAATCGGTTTTTCAGTTTTTGGATCCATTCCAATTCGCCAATATTATCGAAATCAATAAAATTGGATTGGTTTGGATTGGATTGGTCAATTTTGGCGGATTGGTTTGAATCTTGTACAACGTTCCTAGTTATTATAGTTAATTTTGTAATATTAACATTTAATAGAAACTTAAACTTGTATGCCAATAGGTTTTGGGAAATATGATGCGTTCTAAAAACATTGATGGATGGCGGGTTATTCAAGAAAGTACCAAATGGGAATTATCAGACGGAGATGAAAGAATCATGTCGATTTTGAAGTTGAGTTTTGATGAATTAAAATCACCAGCTTTGAAACAATGCTTTGCATATTGCTCGATGTTTATCAAAGATTTCGAAATTGAAAAGGATGACCTGGTACAACTTTGGATGGCTCAAGGATTGCTTCACCCTTCTTCTAGCCAAAGTAATCTAGAGATGGAGGATGTAGGAAATCAATATTTTAATATTCTATTGGAGAACTCCTTTTTTCAAGATGTCTCAATGGATAACTATAATGTGATTACCCATTGCAAAATGCACGATCTTGTGCATGATCTTGCAGAACTTGTTTCAAAATCAAAGAGCAAGGACTCCAATGATGTTCGACATATGGCCCAACCTTCAGCCTCAAAACTACAGGGAATTCCAAAAGGAATTGTAGTTCGCTCAATGTTTTTATAGTTGCTTCAATGAGGACCAAGAATCTGGAAGGTGAAGTTCTTGGTAACATCTTACCGAGATTTAAAGGTTTGCGTGTCTTAAAATTAGAGGAGGCTGATATTGATGAGTTGCCAATTTCAATTGGAAAGTTGAAACATTTGAGGTATTTAGATATTTCAGGAACAATGGTTGAAAGGCTCCCCCAATCTGTTGGCAAGCTTTATAACCTACAAACATTAAGAATGAACAATCTCTATCTTAAAGAGTTTCCAAAGGAACTGCAAAATTTGATTAACTTGAGACATTTATGTTTTAGCAAGATGCTGAGACGTCTTTATTTTGATGAGAATGAGAATGTTATGGACTTTCCAGTTGGCATGGGCCGGTTGAGTAATCTCCGATCCTTATCTTATTTTAGTGTGGGTAAGGAGAAAGGCCGTGGAATAGAGGAGTTGGGTGGCTTAAAGCATTTGAAAGGAAAAATATCTATTTATCATTTGGAGCATGTGAGAGATATAGAAGAAGCAAAGAAGGCAAAGTTAGCGGAGAAGACAAACATACGCAAACTAAAGTTTGAATGGGGGGAAGGCAGGTCAAGCGCCATAAACAACGACAGGGATGTCCTAGAAGGCCTTGCACCGCACTCTGAATTGGGAATTTTGAAGATTTGCAACTTTAGCAGTGATCAATTTCCATCGTGGATGATTAGTGGAAATTTGTTTTCTTCCTTGAAAAAATTAAGTATTGATAATGCAAAGAACCTAATTGAATGGACGGGAGCTGCAATATTTCCTCGCCTTGAGGAGCTGTTCCTGAGGAATTGTAATCAATTGAAAAGTGCTCCCACTCATTTTCCATGTCTCCAAAAGTTAACAATAGATTCCATGGATAGCGGCATGCCGATAGCTAATATAAGCACTCAGCTCACCACTCTTACTCATCTCACAATAAAGGAGATGGAGGAACTTGCTTCTCTGCCGGAAGGGATGTTAAAGAAGAACAAAAATCTTTCATATTTGGAGATAAGGAGCTGTCCAGATTTAACTTGTATTGCTGCGGATGTATTTGGTTGTTGTGCATCTCTCGAGTCATTGAGTATTTATGGGTGTCCTAATCTTAGGACTTTGCCTGATGGGCTACACACTCTGCTCTCCCTTAAGGAGTTGATTATAAGGTATTGTGACAGTCTGGAGTGCATCCCAGTTACACAGGGTCACGCATCTCTCTGCAAATTTCCTATTTTCAAGTGTCTTGAGTTATGTATTCTACCTGAGGGGCTAGAATGTTGCACCTCTCTTCGAAGGTTGATAATAGACAAATGCTCCAAAATAACATCCATTTCAATCACACACGGCCTCCCATCCCTCTGCGAATTACAGATTTCAAATTGTGATGAATTATCAAGCCTACCGAGTGGGTTACAACATTGTACTTCTCTTGAGCACTTGTCTATTTTCTTTTGCCGGAATCTTGAAGCTATTCCAATCACACACGGCCTCCCATCCCTCCGCCAATTAGAGATTTCATATTGTGATGAATTTTCAAGCCTACCGAGTGGGTTACAACATTGTACCTCTCTTGAGCACTTGTCTATTACCTATTGCCCGAATCTCGAAGCTATTCCAAGTTTAGACAACCTCACACAACTCCGTGAGTTGCAGATCTATGAGTGTGATGGATTAAAAGGTGTACCCCTTACTAGTGCGTTTGCAGCATCCCTCACCCTCTTAAAGGAATTGAAAATTGGTGGGTTTTGGAAGGAGCTCAATTCATTTCCTGCTTTTCAGGTTATTCCACAACTTAAAACATTAACCTTGCGGGGTTGGCCGAAGCTCAAGTCTCTCCCTGAACAAGTTCAACACTTCACTTCTCTAACTTCTTTGTCAATATGGTCCTTCCATGGCATGGAGGCTCTTCCAGAGTGGTTGGGAAATCTTGCATGTCTTGAGGACCTAACAATTGTCAATTGCAAGAATATGATGTATCTACCTCCACTTGAAGCTATGAAATGTCTTACTAAATTAAGCTGGATGAATATTCACAATTGTCCTCTTCTGAAGGAGAGATGCGATAAAGACAGTGGCCCAGAATGGCCCAAAATTTCCCATATTCCATACATCGATGGTAAGTTTTTCAATTTTATTATTTGTTTTCTTTGGTTCTGAAATCAATTATTTTCTTCTCTTTACTATTTTTTTAATATAAAAAACCTCCTTTTTGTGAATTGGGGACTTAAGCCCGAACACAACTAGACAAACTTACATCTGGGACTACTGGGCCTACTAGAGAAGCCCTATCTAACTTAGTGTTCATTTTAACTTGATTGTATTTTGTTTAGTACATTTTCATTTTAAAGGTACCATTTTTTTTTCTAAACCCATCTCTACAAAGAATATTAACTCTGTTTGCCAATGCCTATAATTTTTTCTTTCCACAAGCAGCATTGACCAAAGTTGTTTTTGATCAGTTGGTTGAGAGACAGGTGTTGATCATGGGGTGCAGATTGAAGAAGCTATGTTTCTGGAAAATTAATTTCATTGTAAATATAAGGTACAAGCAATTTCCAATTCTCACTGCATTATTATACTTGTACTCTTCCCCAGCCTTGTTGTATCTTTTCCTTATCAGCTTATGCAGCGGCATCTATTAGATTAGAGTCTGTACTTTTTCTTTATACAGCTTCTGCTTTTGCTTCGTATCATCAATCAAAGATTAATTTTCTAATAATGTGTAAGTTTCTAACATATTTATTTTCTAAACCACTGCAGTTGACGGTGTGAAATGGTCTTGACATATTCGAGATTTGTCAACCTGGATGGAACCAAAACTCAAATTCAATAATCTTCAAAAGTATATCCCGGAATGCGAAATGGTTGAAAGTAGTGTGCAGATTGAAGAAGCATCATTGACCAAAGTTGAACTCAAATTCATTCACACTTCTAAAGGTCCCATTTTTCTTTCTAAATCATCTCTACAAAGAATATTAACTCTGTTTGCCAATGCCCATCATTTTTTCTTTCCACAAGCAGCATTGACCAAAGTTGTTTTTGATCAGTTGGTTGAGAGACAGGTGTTGATCATGGGGTGCAGATTGAAGAAGCTATGTTTCTGGAAAATTAATTTCATTGTAAATATAAGGTACAAGCAATTTCCAATTCTCACTGCATTATTATACTTGTACTCTTCCCCAGCCTTGTTGTATCTTTTCCTTATCAGCTTATGCAGCGGCATCTATTAGATTAGAGTCTGTACTTTTTCTTTATACAGCTTCTGCTTTTGCTTCGTATCATCAATCAAAGATTAATTTTGATGATTTTGATGAGTTTTTGATGAGTTTTTGTCAAACTTTCTCCAAATTTTAGCTTCCAATTTTGCATTTCTTTTCAAGCCTTTTTTCTTATTATTTTGTTTTTTTTTTAATAACCAAAATAACAGAGTAGGAAGGTGATGGAGACATTCAACTAATTGTGGCAGTTGCCCAATCAGCTCAACCCTTGGAAGGTGATGCCATGCGAGGAAAGCTTTTAACGGCTCTGCAGCTCAAAGGTATGCATCGCCCTTGGCTTGTTTTCGTGTTGCTTTGTTCGGAAACAGGGTCATTAATGTATCTTTTGTCTTTCAAATCTGTATTATCTGGTTCTTTGGAAGATTCAGTTTTATGGAACAATTTTTTATCAAGAATCCGATCATGAGTCTTTTTTTATAGTTTTTTTTGGCACATTCTCTCTCCCTAGGCTTTGTAAAAGTTTCTCTCCTGAATCTGATCATTTGGGTGGCTTAGAGTCCCTGTTGAGAGAAAAAAGATTATGGTTTAACATTTGGAAGAACCTTTTGTCTTCTTTGTTTTGTAGTTGTGCCTTTGCTAATTTATTCTCATCATTGTTTCTTGCATTTTGCTTTGGCAATCTTGGATTGTTATGAACACGTTGATGTTGCATTACATGTTTTCTATTTGTTGAA